ATTATATCTAGGTTTAGTGGTGAAAATAATTTACACATCCTGTGTGTCCTCTACAGAGGACAAACTTAAAGACCCAGGGGACCTAAATCTGTATTTTCGTTCTGATTACGTTGATCTTGTTCTTGCAGGCAAACAGAAAACATGAACTAAGTAAACCCTTTGTATAATGTTCAAATGACCAATAACGACCGAAATATTTCACCATATTTCTCTCCTCTTGATGTAAACTAGGTTGTCCTAATCTTGGGTAAGCATTCCCCTGACCAATCACAAGGCTGACGTCTCTTGCCCCGCCCACACAGAACTGTTTCAGAGTCAGAGAGACTTAGCGAACTAAAGCTAACACACCAAGCTATAACCTGTCTGTAGCTGCCTGTCACCTGTTTGTTTATCCATACATGTATATTTTTGATTTGTCTGCTCCTTCATTCATGCTTTGCTTCGTCCGTCCATCCGTCCGTCTGCGTGTGTTCGTCCTTTGCTTCACTCATTGCTTCAGCTGGCTATCGGTTCATTTATCTATCCATCTACACGTCTGTTCATCCATGACTTTTCTCGTCCAGTTACCATCACATAAAATCTGGATAATGATTTTAGTTCTGTATGAGGGGCGGAGCAGGCTACGAGTGTTGGACAGACCTGTCAATCAACCTGCTCATTAGCCACACCCACACAGTTCTCAGATAGGTCTGATCAGTGGTTTTTAAGCTGTGTTTTATCATATTAATATCTTAAACTTTTATTCAAGCTCTGCTGGATTGCTAAATGTAGCTTTCAAGTTTAGCACCATACAAACATTTTTAATATTTTACTCCCTGAGAATTTGAATATGGCATTTTTTTGCAAATTTGTGGGCTCATTTTCCATTGTTTGTCATTATATTAAAAAAGAAACAAAATATAAAATGTGCTGATCAAATCTCGAGACAGAAAAAGATGACGATTAATAGATATGTTGTTCCCAAAAACACACTGAACAAAAAAAGCATAAAATGTCAAAAATGCCTCCTTCAGTCTAGTTCTTAGTATTCCAATCTACACTCTACAAGTTATTGTTGAATAAAATAACAGCAATTATTAATTAGTGATTTTTGAATTAGTCACTTTTGAATTTGAAGCATTAATACACAATTCAACTGACGTGTGCAGTCATGTATGTATTTCACAACATGGCTCAATTGATCAAAATTCAAAATATAAACTATCCATTTTTTAAGCATTACTGTGACGTACAACACTTAGTTAAGATATCATTTTTTCTAGACTGTAAATATCCTCCTGGCTCCTTAGTGCATCTAACTTCCAGCCATGGGCAAAAGACAAGGACACTAACTAGCAAAAATCTCTACAGCCTGCTTCTCCAGTCTAATTGACACTTTGTAAGCAGCAGACAGCTATGCGGATATGTGGAAGCTTAAACGTGAAGTAGCTGACTGCAGGGCATCGGAGAACGTGGGACACCTGTCCAGCGCTGTCACTTTTTTAAGGGGAACTCACTGTCCGACTGCTACTTTCAAACTTGCCTAACAAGGGAGATCTTCTTAGGGACCAAGAAACTGTACTGAGGCGAGCGACGAGACGAGAGGCGTATCGGAACCGTGCGACGTTTTCGACAATGTGGACACAAAACGTCCATAAAAAGCGTCTATAATCACAACAGCTCACGGCGGCGCTCTAAAACAAACACGGCGGCTCAAAAGTGACGGAGATCCTCTCTCTCAGTTCTGGATCGATGGCCGCATAACGCTGGCGGTTAAAATAACCCCATGTTTTTTTTTGTTTTTTTTTTTTTTTTTTTGTTTGGAGCTCTTAGAGAGCCATTGTGGCTGATGGGAGGCTATTTAAAGAGCCATCCAATATGCAGGGATGTCAGTACACACTGGCCATAAGGCGTAATTGCCCGTCCATTTGCCTCTGCCTTTAGAGGAAGGATAAAACCAGCCTGTCACCCAGCCGTCAAAGCGCACAAAGTTTGCAGACAAGTCATGCAGGGAAAGTTTGGCATGTGTGTGTGTGCGTGTGAGCATCTTCACACATTCAAGAAAAGAAAAAAAAAGGTATATAAGGTGTGAAAGCTTGTTGTTGCAAGCGTTCCAGCGACAAAAGACATCTGGACACGCTGATGGAGACAAAGTGTGTTTAAGTGTGAGGATGTGTGTATGTGTGTATGTGTGGTGTTTTCTTGCAGAGATCTGGCTCTCTAAAGTAAAGCAGCAATAATCCCAGTAGAAATGTAGTGCTCTGTGAGCTGTGAAGAGGGCAAAGAGGAGGCTGAGAGAGTGACCTCCCCCCTCTATCTTTCTATGTCTTTCTCTCTCTCTCTCTCTTCTTAATACAGCACCCAAAACCCCCAAATCCATCATCAAGGTAAGGAATATGGCTCTATCACACTATGGCACTCCACACAACATATTGCAGCCTTAAACCCACAGTGACTAAAGTGATGCAGTGAATTTACTGATCTTGCTTGATTTTTTGTTAGCGTTCCCTAAACGACACGTTAAGGACAGACATGATCTAAATGAATGTTTATTCAAACTCATCTTAGCATTTGTTAACATAATCACTTACTCAATTATTTTATTGTTTATTTTTACACAGTGGGTGTTGTTCCCAAACTTTTGGACTGAAGTGTATGTTAGTACCTACCCTCGAATTCCACGCACTCTATTCAAATAAAAAATCTAAAATAGCTCTATTTAATTAAAAAACCTTAGCTAGGATAAATATTCGCTTAAGAGGGAAAAAAAAACACCTCTTGTCCTATGGTTGCCTAGCAACATATAATAATATGATATAATATAATGTAATACCATATGTATGTATGTATGTATGTATATATATATATATATATATATATATAATATATATATATATATATATACCAATTATGTTGATATAATCATAAGCAAATTTTGAACACCCCTGGTTTTGTTAAATTTCTAAGTGAAAATAACGTACACATCCTGCACATCCTGTACAGGGAACAAACGAGCTTAAATATAGAAGTTTTCTGCTAATATTAATGCTCAATTTCTATTTTTCAATTAATTAAAAGAGAAAATTTTCTCTCACCAATCAAACTCCACTTGAGTCACTTCCAAAGTTAGAATTTTCCATCACCCACTCAGATTCCACTTAATTCAATTCCACAGTAAACATTTATCATCATCCACTCAGATTCCAGCCTATTCAATTCCAAAGATAGAATTGCCCATCACCCATTCAGACTCCACTCTGCTCAATTCCAAAGTTAAAATTTCCCATCAACCACTCAGATTACATTCTATTAAATTATAAAGTTAAAATTTCCTGTCACCCAGTCTGGTTTCAGCCTGTTCGATTCCAAAGTAGAAGTCCATGTTGCCTTGTCACATCCGGACTATTCAGTTCTAAAGTTCAAATTCCCAGCACCCAGTTTGATTTCACTCTATTCATTTCCAAAGCTAAAATGTATGCTGAACTAAGGTGCCTGGAGACTAGGAGACTAGTTAATATCAGAAACACAGACAAGTGCAGGCAAGAACACTCCCATTTAATCTTGAACTCAAAATGAATCTACACCGCTGAATGAGTCTTACAACCTCAAATTTCTGGCCTGATGCAAACTCCCCCACTGCCCACAGCCCACTGACCGAACATGACCCCTAAAGCTCAGTGCAAGGCACACTTATGCATAATTCTGAATGAATAACATTGAAATAGCTCTAATATTGACTAAGAAATCTCTATGATTCCTTTTCCGTCTCTCTACCACAGCTGCTGTTTCCATCCTCCATTCATCCTGACCATGTTTCCTCTCTCTGCACTTAAACATTCTATCTCTTAACCTTTAGCAATCTATTCAAATGTAATTAAAAAAAACAAAAGTTTTTGACCTCTAAATGTTCTGTTTTGTTTCCAAATATAAAAAAAAAACAGCAAAAATGTTTTTTTTGTTCCACAAAATAGGACTACGCACAACAATAACCATCAAATTCTTCTTACAATAAAATATCTCATATTATACTGACAAAAACAAATGCGGTATCGACTGAAAGGTTAGAATCACTTTTGCTTTTTTCATTGAGATACAAGTGAGAAATAATTATTATTGAGTTATAACATTTTTATCACTTCTGAAGGTAAAAAGCTTACGCCTCATTTCTTGCTCTTCACCTCCTTCTTTGTACTTCTATGTTTTGCAGGCTACAGCTTACCTCTCTGCCTTCTCTCTCTCTCTCTCTCTCTCTCTCTCTCTCTCTCTCTCTCTCTGTCTCTCTCTCCCTCTCTCTCTGTGCCTCCCTCACTCTCTACGTTTATCTGTCAGGTTCCATCCTGGCTGGGCGAAGCAAGAATCAATCAGACTTGACTAGCTCTGGGCTTATCTCCGCCCTCGCTGATTGATTCTGCTCGTTAGCTATAATTTGACGCTCTGTCCCATCTCCTCCAAAGCAAATTAAATCGTAGTAGAGTCGAACGTGCTGCGAGTCCTGCTCTGCTGGAGTGAGAGCGCAAAAAACACACCGGGAAAGTGTGAGAGCGTGTGTACATGAGTGTGTGTGCGTCAGTACTGGGTGGCTAGATATGACTAATGGGAAGTGACAGACACATGATGTAGGACTAAAGAGGCTGCTGTTGAACAGTGCTCAGGGAACATCGCTGCTCCACAGCTGCAGCCACACCAGGAAGGAGTGACAGCACCACACACATAAGAACTCACGGTCACAAGTGTGTATAAGTTTACACCCTTTTTTTTTAGTGGTAGGATCAGCAACTGAAGCACATCAAAGGTCAGCAAATGACATGCTTTTTATACACTTTTGGGTCAGTCTCCATTTGAAGTGGGAATTCAGGTGGACAGATTTAAAAAAAAATCAGTTTCTTTCATCCCAAAACTAAATAATCTTAATATGTCCATTAACATCTATTATATTAACACCTATTATCGTAAATGAGGAAAGGAGCTTAATTCCAAACATATTTTACAGTCACTGGTGTTGTTTGAATATGGTGTAAAACTAGTGACTGTGACGTTCTGGTTAAAACTGAGGATTTTGTAAATTGTAAAATGTCGTATAACATTAATGATATAAAAGTAAACATGAATCTGTTTTATACAAATTCATCAGTTAAACCTCTTAAAAATACTGTTTTATATTAAAAATGGTTTCTCAAATGTTGAAAAATGGTTTTGTGACGAGCTGTTTTATATATTCAGAGCGATTATGAAACAGGACAAAAAGAAAAATCAGAGAAATCATAAAGGAAAAGTATTATTTAATCTTAGGTCAACTGTGTACATACCAATCTTTGGAGCTGTGCCTAATATTTTAAGCAACGTTTTAAGCGCTGCAACCTTCGTGACATGGTTTCCCACTCCAAACGGAGAATGTCACAACTACCAAATTTGATGCCAACAAAAATGTAACAAAAGCAGTTTGAACAGGTGCATGTTCACCACTGTGTTACAGCAACTTTCTTTTTAACGGCATTTGATGATAGTTCAGGGATGAAAGACACCAATTAATCCAGTTTTGAAAGCAATATTTTTGTTTCTACTATACAAGTCTTCAGGTGCACAACCATCTTTGTTTGGGGTCTTCTTGTACTCTGCATTTCATAATGCACCACACAATTTCAATGTGAGATGGTATGGACTGTAAGACTGCCAGTCTAACACTCACCCTTTCTGATCACACAGCCTTTCATTTGCAGCATGTGTTACACATGTTATACATGTAACAGAATGTGCCTTCAAATAAGAGTAAACATCCCTTAAAATATGTCATCTAAAAGGCAGCATATTTTGCTGCAAAATATGTATACCTTTTAGCATTAACTGAGCTTACACAGATGTGCAAGGTACCCACTAATATATCCCCATACCCTGACAAATCCTGACTTTTAAACTTTATGCTGGTAACAATCTAAGATGGTCCTTTTTATCTTTGGCCCAGAGAACACGACCTCCATTATTTCTATAAACAATCAGAAAAGTCGACTCGTCAGACCCAATTCATGTTTCTACCATGCAACAGTCCATTTCAGATGAGCTTGAGCCCAGAGAAGTCGGCGGCATTTCTCGACATTGTTGACATATGACTTCAGCTGTGCACAGTACAGTTGTAACTTGCATTTGTAGATGCAACAGTTTTTATTGACAATGGTTTGTCAAAGTATTCCTGAGCACATGTGATGATATCCATCACAGGAACATGCCTGTTTTTAATGTAGCGCTGTCTGAGGGGTTAAAGATTACAGCAATTGCATTGGGTTTCTGGCCTTGCCCTTTATACACAGAGACTTCTCAGGATTCCCCAAATCTTTTGATGATATTATGCACTGCAGAGGGTGAAATACCTAAAATCCTTGCAATTGTTAATTGATGAACATTGTTCTTAAATGGATGGATTCGTCAAAGACATGTTTTTTGGCAAAGTGGCGAGTCTTGACCCATCCTTTATATAACCAAGCATGACTGCACCTGTTTAAGATGTTTTTTGAACATTTCACAATGTCTCTAGTCTTAAATTGCCCTCTTTTTTGGAAAGTGCTGCAGGCATCAATTTTAGAATGAGTCTATATTTAAATAACAAAGTTTGAAGTAAAGATTGTGAAAGTTTTAATATGTATCATTCAGTACCCAGTGCATACAGTCCAAATATGGAAAGTAAGCTTCAAAAACAGCCAGTACATCTGTGATGTCACCTGAGCCAATATATTTACGTATATCACTTATTCAGATTACAGCAGTTTAGCTCCGCCCATTCACAATGAAGTCATACGCGGTGTATCAGCTCTCAGTACGTTCTGAATGAAGCCAATCAGAACAGAGCTTGTTTATCTTAAATCTTATGTGTCTTAAATACAGTAACAAAAGCAACTTGTTTAACTCCAAAATATAAAAAGGATCGCTGCCATCGGAAGAAAACCTTGTATCTCCATTTTTGCCGTTTTTCAGTTTTTGACATAATTTAAAAATGCCTGTTACCCTTTACATTCTCCTGTAAAGTTATAATTTTGGAGATACAAGGCTTTCTTCCGATAACAGTGATTGATTCCCAGTGCACATTCCCATATGTGCAATTTTGTATGAGTTTACCTGATACTCTTGAATAAACTCTTAAAACATGGTGCAGGCGCTCTTTCTTGTGTAACGGGTGCTATGCAAGAGAAAGCTCAGTAATTGGAAAGGTGCCTCGTGCTTGATCAATAGCTTGTTAACAGTCAGCAGCATATCTTCATGGAAAGTGGGTGAGAGTTTTTCCTCAAAGTGAACACGCTGAGATAACGTGAGCCAGCGCACCACTGTCACTGCCAGCGTGTGACACAAGGACGGACACATCTAATTACTACAGACACGAGGGACAGAAAGCTTTGTTGGGAAACAAATGCTAGACTGGGTTTAGACAGGTCACCTGCATACATCACCACTTACCAGTTTCTAAAATGACTGAGAAAGCTGTATAACATATAAAAGTTATAATAAAATTAACATAGAGAATTCATCATATTCCAAAAGAGGAGATCTAATCTCAAGGTAGGTAACCTGACGAAAAATGGATGTAAACAGATCAGTACAGTATATTATTTATTATTTACTGAGCTTTATTTACACAGAATTCTTAAAATGTTAAATGAAACATCTAAAACATATTTTCTCAAATAGTTTGTAATATTCCACACTGCATAAGTTATTATTGTACATAAAACATGGTACGTGATTCCAAATGTTTAAATTGTAGCGTTTGCATTCATATCTTTTTTCATAATAAACTAGACATCTAAACATATTTTTGGATGTTTTATTTAATGATTAAAGCATTCTGGAAATAACAATTTCATGTAAATATGTACTTACCTAACATACACTGTTTTTATATGATAGAAAACGTTAGTTATAAGCCTTCGAAGGGTGATTCTAAACATTGTGAACAGTCATGTATCTCAGTATATAAGAAGGCTTTGGTGGGCACAGTTATTCCAAGCAGAGCAGCTGTACAAAACAGATGATGCCCACTTCTGTGTATGTGTGTGTGTGTGTGTGTGTGCGTGTGTGTGTGTGTGTGTGTGTTTATGTGTGTGTGTGTGTGTGTTATGTGTGTGTGTGTGTGTCTCACCTCGTCTTTGTCCTCCACCTGTATGGACAGGGGCAGGGCAAAGCCCACCTGGGCCAGTTCAGTGATGCGCACACGGTACTCAGAGCTGTTAAACTTGGGAGCGTTATCGTTCTTATCGATGAGGAGGATGGTGAAGGTGGTGAGGACGGAGGCAGCAGAGGGAGTACGATCATCATTCAGCTCAGTACCCTACAGAGAGAGAGAGAGAGAGAAAGAGAAAGAGAGAGAGAGAGAGAGAGAGAGAGAGAGAGAGAGAGAGAGAGAGAGAGAGAGAGATTCACTTTAGTGTCCATCATTGTGGAAATTTGTCTTTGCTGTCTGCTCTTACGCATTTACAGAAGGGTATATAACTGTATGTAGAAGGTTGAACACCCTTAGTTGTTGTTTTGGTTTGTTGAGTGAAAATGAACACAGAGAATTACAGAGAATGTACTTAAATATGGCATTTGTTCTGCTAATTTTAAGGTAATTTTTTTATTTATTTGCGGAGTTTAACATATAATACCTAAAAGCATAAAATGTGCTGTAACTTTTGCACAGATCACATTTTGTGTTATTTATTTTTATTTTTCTATATGTTAAATTCAGCAAACAAACAGTAATTGTCCATTAAACAGTGTAGAAATGTGTTCTCTGTGACGGATTATTTTCACCTAGAAAATCAACTAAACATCGTTTGACCAGGGGAAAAAACTAAATGAGCCATATTAAAAAATCTCAACAAATCTGTGGGCCAGCTGTGTTTTTATTTTATTTTTACTTTACATTTTACCACGACCCCAACTGGCCATTGTTTATTCAAAATATGCCAAAACTACAATGGCAAAAAAAATAGGCACTGAACTTGAACGATACAAAAATCATTTTTAATAGAAATAAATTGTTTTATGTAAAACAAGAGACTGCATTAGCTGCAGATAACCGTTAAACCTCGTTAAATGTCCCCAATGTACAGTATGTTTTTTTAAAACTGCCCAGTTGCATGAACTAGACACCCGGCATCCTTTTTTTTCTTCTTTTTTTGTGGGGCTGTCCCTGAAATCTATGTCAGGGAGGGGTTGGGAGCACACTGTAGTGCAGTTCATAGTAAAATGTGCTAATATTGATAGAAAATCAAAATAATTTTATGGGCTGAATAGGATTGTGCCATGGGCCCGACGTGGCCCGTGGGCCTTGTATTTGACATGTGGGTTCTAGGAGGAGGAAAAATCATTCTTAACTTCAATATAAGTTAAAGTAATAAAACTTTATTGTGATTTTGAACCATTTCTGTTGGTCCATTCTTATAGAGTTTTTACATGGTGTACATAAGAAATCTCATCAGGAATCACTTAAAATATACTGCCTGTCCAGGTAAAATTAATCCAGCTGTATTAGGGATTTAGTTAACCCCTTAAAAACTCTGACTTATTAAATCCTAAGGCTTATTATTCAGTAAATACATGGACTATAGTGCAACCTGGCTGTGTTATGGTTATGCTATAGGAGTGCACGATAGAAGTTAGACCTGTTGTGCGTCCTGGCCATTTAAACACTGCCCAAAATTAAAGATGGCACACATATGTTCATGATATTTCTCATCCAAAACCTGTCAAAGTGTTACCTGAATGCTTGGTGCTTGCACTCCTAACAACAGCAATATCTAAAGCCACACATCTTCTGAATGTGGCCTATACTTGAGAAGAGTGATAGAGAAAGTGAACGAGAGTGACTGAGGCCGGCAGAAAGAGTGATCTAATGAAAGAAGGGAATAGTCATAACAGAACATACACGGTCCTCAATCTGGCCCTCTTATCCACTCTTCAGAATGGCCACTCTTCAGAATGATCAGAGCAATCAGAGGTAAGTGGGGACAATGTGATGGCCGATGTAGGAAAACACACACATGCAATGAGATTAAAGAAGGGCTGCAGTGGAGAAGAGTGTAATCACGATACCAGATTTTGTACTTAGATACTGATACTAAGTGTAGTATCACAATGATCAATACCAAAACCTGAATGATACAAAGGCAGATAATGAGTAAATTCGCCAAGAAATAAAAAACTGTCAAGAAATAAAAAAAAGTGATGAAAATTTAAAGAATGTTTTGTTTTTTTCCCCACAAAAGTACATACAACAATAACTTTTGATGAAAAATTTAATCAAAACAAATGAGAAATTATAAGAACTACAAATGAGAAATGTGTAAAAATTTATAAAATGTAGAAATTGGACTAAATCTGGATTAGCATTACAGAGAAATAAACAACTTATGTCTGTAGAGTTATAAAGTAAAATGGATAAAATGCATCCGACTTTTTCTTTTTAAGCAAATATCTGCTCATACTGATCTGATTTCAATATCACCTCTAGTGGAGAAACTTCTTGTCTCAGTGTTCTTAACAGTGGTGGTGATGGGAACCAGGGGTCCTGATGTCTACAACACAAATATAGCCATTTTATTTACTTTCCAAAACCACCAGTGAACGCCTGCATGTCTTCTGAGTTTTTGTATGTAATGTTGATGGTAAAATGGAGTGAATGTGGAAAAATTCATGTACTTCTCCACCATAAATGGACTATTAAAAAGTATATTTTAGGCAAAAAACCTTTTCTCCAGAACTACTGTTGAACAATGTATCAGACATCATGTGTATTTGTAACCATACCATGTAATAACTTTCTGAGGGGAGCTTTAAAAGGCATTAAACTCTTCAGACGTCTGGTTCCCATCACCACTACTGTGAACAATTCTGACTCTGTACGTTGACAAGTAAGTAAGTCTTATTTGATCTGTAAGACTTATTTGATTTTACATCTTAATGATTTAATCACGCAGGAGAGGGAGAAATCGGTGGAATTCCACTTTGATATTTGTGGCTAAAGCCCAACTGAAGCACTTTATTACAGAAAAGAAAAACTCAAATAATCATGTAAATAAATGAAATTAGTGAAACTAACATTCATCACACTGTGTTTAAAACAAAAGGAATATGGGTTACAGTTTATACTGATTGTTTACAGGAGCATAATGTCACATACGCTAGTAAATAAAACCCTTCAAATAAATGTTGTAGATTCTAATAGCATGTACTAATTAGCATGTGTAACTGGATTCACCTATAGAGAGAATACAATGCCAACATGATGTTAGTGAATGTGAATAAAGAAGCTAAAGTATCAAATGTTAGAGCATATTAAATTGTCAAGCTGCACATACTTAAAAAAGATAGATATAGAACCATGAACACTCAAAGAACCCATTGCATGATTACATGGTTCTTTGCATTGTTAAATGGTTCTTCAGATTGATGAAGAAAATGATTTATATAGTTCTATATAGAACCTTTCCAAAAAGGTTCTATGTAGCACCAAAAAGGGTTCTTCTATTGTTACAGGCTTGGCATTGTAACAATAGAAGAATGATGTTATGTAGAAGCCTTTTCAAAAAAGCTCTATATAAAACCATATAAAACACATGAAGAACAATTTGACAATGCAAAGAACACTTTAATCATGCAAAGGGTTCTTGTGTGTTCATGGTTCTATTCAGAACAATTTTCTTTACTAAAGAACTCTCGGAGAACCATCATTTTTAAGAGTGTAGTTTTTAAAAAGCATTGAACTTTCAATACATCGTACTACACTTGCATGGATACATTTCCTCTCTCTCCCTCTCTTTTATTCTCATTCTTTCCAATAGTAGTAGCTGATGTACAGACAGTAAAAGAGGAATGCACTGTCTCTACTGGAGTATGAATAATGGTAATTGGGGGTGAGAGTAGAGTGAGCTTGTAAGTCACAGGCAATCATAGAATCTTATCGTTTTTTTAACCCCTCCCTTCTGATTCCCGCCACACAAAAAGCTCCTGAATGCGCTGACCTGGAGTGCGCTGTACTCCAGCACTTATCCAAGCTTTGTGAAGTTGAGAAATTAGTTTTATTACTCTTACGCTCAAAATCGATATCTCCACCGATGAGAGCAGGGAGAGAAAAAGGGAGTGGGAACGAGAGGAGAAATGGAAGAAAATCCATAACTTATGAATATGTTTTTTGGAGATGTTCCTTTGCCTCTGCGCCGTTCTGCGTGGAGTTCGGGCCATTTTGGAGCAGATCATTGATTTTAATTAAGGAGAGTTTGACCCAAGAGAGCACGGGGGGAATTTGCAATCAACAAAACAAACACTTTGATTCCACATGAACATATAAACACACAGACATGCACGCGCCACACACAGGTACCCATAACTGATATTACATTCAATACATTGTGGTGCTGAGGTAATTAACCGAATGTGAAACTCAATGTGAAATAGTTTACTTTCAGTTTTTAATAAAGGGCCATGTACAGCAGAAAGCGATTTGTGCTAGTGAGGCCAGCAGTTTTATTTTATGTTTTCATGTATTTTATTTTATTGTTTTTTTTTGGTATATTCATAATATTTAAGGCCATATGATGAATATGTAGTGAAACAGGGGTGTGATTCTTTGGGTCAATAGCAAATCATTTTGATTCAAGATTCATTCATTTGAATTCAATTTAATTCAATACACTAAAGAGAGATTAGATGCACTGGCGTCTTTAAAAGGTCCATATCCTCCATTTTTCCTTTTGTCCTTTTTTAAAGTCCACTTATGTGCATATATATGTTTTGGTTTATGTACCAACAATAGTCATAATCTTTCTCCTTTAGAATTAAACAGGCTGTTGTAGTTACTGTGCCTTTAAGAGTGACATATGCAAATGATGTCTGTTCTGAATGGCTGTCTTGTATTGTACAACATTCAAAAGGCAATCCAGGCTGAAATACTCCTTATAACTTTGCTGTGAATGTGTGGAGCAAAACAGCTGTTCATTTTTTTTCTAGCAGGAACAACTTTAACTTTGTTTAAAAGTTAAAAGCATTTTTACCAAACTATTTACTATTATATGCCAACATTTCCTCCCGGGAAAACATGTATGTCTTCCCAGAATGCTTCAGAGACATTTAATGGGATATTAAACAATAACCTACGAAGCAAAAGCATACATTCCTTGACTCAGCTGAAGCAGAAATGAACCACACTTCCATTCCCCAAATGGATATTTCAGCCAAATTCTTGAAATACAGTGGCCATGTGAAAAATAGTGTGGATAGCAAAGTGGAAAACCACCGCTCCCCTCAAAACAAGGCGTAATGTAGCAGTGAGCGTGAGGGGCTACAATC